GGTGAGACTGGGTGCTGATGAGGGATGTGTCTCAATGAGGAGAAATGATTAGCTGTGACTGATGGATGATTCAGGACATAAGGGAGGAAACATAGAATTGCTTAGTAAGACTCAGCAAGGTGTAGTTGTCTGTGAACCTGTTAAAATTATGTTTAGAGAAAGGCATGCTTACATCCATTGTGGTCATCAATGTAGGATCCAATCTCTACTGGAATATTACTGTCCTATTTTAGGTATAGGATCAGTGGCTGACCAAGGTCTTCAGATGTAAGAAATTGTCTTGTGTTTTCTTTTTCTTCCTTTCTGACTGAAGCTCTGTGGCTGGGTGTGTAATGTCAGACTCTTCATTTCCTTCAACAGACTATGTGCAGCAATGTTGTACATTTTAAGGGAAAGATGAAGTGCTTATTCAGTTTTAGATTTCATCTAAAGCGCTGCCATGTTTATTTCCTCTGACGGTCATTTGGGGGCTGGGCATGTGAGACCCTGGGGATTTTCTTAAAGTGTCCCTGAATTCAATGAGACGGTAACGAGTGGTGCTGCCAACATGTCAGCCTTCATCCTTTGCTAGTGTTCATGGCTGGGCATGACCTACCATGAGACTGACTGCTAACCTTGAGGAAGAGACCTTCCCAGACATAAGGGGGTCATTCTGGTGTGGGGCAGGTACTGCAGATCCATTCTCACAGCCGCTAAGACCTGAGAAACCTCAGACTCCCAAGGAACAAATGTGGCCTCTAAAACTATGTGTTATTCCCAGCAACTTTGACTGAATCGGAAACAAAAATAGATGAACTAAGTGATAAAATTCATTCTCAGCCTTCAGCAGCATGTGTGAACAAATATTGGGTCTTATATAAAAACAAAATTCCTTATTTCCAATTTCAGGACCCTCTTCAGCCCCAAACCATAAGGGCCAATGTTCTCAGTTTGTCTTCCATCTGCAGGACATGTTTGTAGGGAGAAATCCCTATTCAAACCTCACCATGAGTGGGTGAGAAGAGCTCTCTAACTTTCAGGAAGCTAATCATAAAGAAGAGCACACTTAACATCATATCACCATTTGAAACCTCACTAATGTCTCAATTAGCTGTGTGAAAGATTAGATCCAAGGGGAAGAGTAAAGTCATCAGCTTTGGCCTAGTGTAAAAGAGGTAAGTGGAATGGAGCTGAGGACCCCGGAAGTGGCCTTGAGAGTGAATTTAGAGATGAAATCCTCCAAGATCTTCAGGTTGCCTGTTCACACCATGAGATTGTGGTAACAGAGTCAGACCAAACGCTCTTTACTTGATTGCAGCAGCTGTCTCTGGAGACGTGCCTCACCAAGCTTAACTCATCAAGATTTTCTCTTGAAGCTTTGAGAAACTCATTTCATTTTCTGTATTTCAAATTGCCTAAGTTTTTACACCAGTTAATGGCTATTCAGCAATAAAAAATCACATAAAGATTCCAAATGAATTCTAGGCATCCACGACCTTATTAGGAGGTGGGATATGTTGTTGGAGAATAGTTGATCAGTTGTTCTATGGAGTTAGTGAAAAAAAGAGAGGGGTGCATTCTCATTTTATAATTCTGAGGCTGAGACTCTGAACCACTAATATAAACTGAGATCAGGACTCTTACCCACTTTCAATTCCTAGTATTTTGCTCTGCCAAAAGTCCAGATGAGAAAACATTCTAAAGTAGAAACAGAGAGATTCGTTTTCATATAAACCAAAATACTTGGTCATAAATGGTATTAAAGGCTGAGAATGAATTTTAGAATTTAGTTCATTGTATTTGTCTTCTAAGCTAGCCAAAATTATTGAGTATACCACATGGCTTTAGATGATATATTTGTCATTTTGGGGAACTAAAGGTTACTCAATTATTAATAGCTGTCAGTGTGGAACAGACCAAATGTATTTAGATGTTAGTCTTTTGTAGTGGGAAAATTTGTGAATTTTCTGGTTCCACCCAGCTAGTGAAATGAGTGACTTAATAAATATATTGACTTGTCATAGAGGATGAATGATTTGACCAGAAAGTGTGAGACAGACGAAGTGAAGATATGTACAAAGACTGGAGACAAAGAGAGAATTACTGCACCATTAAGAGTTCCATCCAGCCTAGGCATTCTTTGCCTGGGCACCACTGACACGGAGGATGATGCAGTCCTTTGTCGTGGCGTCTGCCCTGTATGTTGTAGAATGTTCCTCACATCTCAGATGCCAGAAGTCCTCCTGTGAAAACCACTAAAGTGTGCTACTAAATATCCACATTGCAGCTTTCTGCTCAGGACAGCATGGTGTAAGGGACAGGCTTATGGGGAACTTGGATTGCTGAGCCTGTTTTGGGAGATGAAGTTTTATTTGGAAAGTGCTGTAATTAAAGAATCGATTTTACATTTATATCATATTGATAAAAAATAGATTTTTTTGCAGTTTAGAGTTAAGTGAGTATAAAAAGAAGAGGAAACAGACAGGTAGTGTGGGGTTTTATTTTGCCTCCCTCCAAAGAGTCCTGCAGAAATACGAAGGATTTCCAGAGTTAGTCTCCGACAGGCAATACTGTCAAAGGGGGCAGTGAGAACACTTTCCTGTGCCTAACTTTGCATTTGCTTACATTTTACTACATAGGTGAGGCTACCTGGAGACCGACACATGTTCATCTGCTTATCTTTGTGTAGAGTAGATGAAGTAGCACTCATGGCAGAGACCCTTTAATTTCACCAATATCCTGATGGTCCTCTACATTTCCTAAGCCTCCCTGTAGTGAAAAACCAATTGGGCCTGAGGTGGGTACAGGCTAAAGTGCCTCTTGAATTTCTGTCCTAGAAACCCTATCAAAGCAATTTGAGACCCCTGCCAGTTCATGTCACCAAAACCCAAAGAAATTGCTGCTCATTTCTGTCTGTTTCTGGAATTCATATTAGAGGCTGGAATTTATTAATTGATTTGACTCCTTCATTTCCAATTGTCATCATTTTATCTATCTTTCTGCTCCCTGGAACTCAGTTGGAATTTGACCACATGGAATAGAAGGTTCAGCCTTGATGATGTAGGCATCACTAGTCATTTTCCCCCAAGCTAGTGACGTTACTGTTAGAGGGCCACGCACATAAGAGGTAAGCAGTTACTTGGAATGGTATCACACATGATGCAACATGTTCTGCTTTGGAGAAAGAATACAGACAGGAAATTTGGTGGATATTGTTTCAGTAAATAAAGATTCAAATTTGGAGGCTGTGTATATGGAGCATGACCTTCAGGAGCTTGCCTCTGTTGCTTACTGCCTGAATATGAATTCTGGCTTTAGTAATTCTTAGCTATGTGATCCTTGGCAAGCTGCACAAACTCTCTGATTTGACTTTTCTAATCTGTAAAATGAGTGTTAGTATCTATAGGTTGTACATACATAGCAAATGTTAAGCTCTTAGTGAATATATGTTCTATTGGGTATTATTCTCTCTCTCCTTCCTTCCTTCCCTCCCTCCATCCTTTCCTGCTTTGCCCTTTCTCTCTCTCTTTTTTGTTTCTTTTAAAATTTGTATTTATTTATCTTTTAAAATGATGTGTGTGTATGCACATGAGTGTAGGTGACCAAAGAGACCAGAAAAGGGTGTCAGATCCCCTGGAGCTGGTCATAGGCCATTGTAAGCCTCCCCAGTGTGGATGCTGGGATCCAAACTCAGATTCTGTGCAAGAGCAGCACATACTCTTGACTGCTGAGCCATCTCTCCAGCCTCTTTTTCTGTTTTCTTTAAGTGCTTCTTTTATTGTAAGTGCTGTTTAATGCTTGCTATTGCTATTAATGATGTTTAGAATATCATATGAATTCCAGTGAGTCTATGAGCGCAAAAATTTTTGGTGTTCTCTGTAGCCTGTGATATTTCTCATTATACAGTTTGAGAATAGCTTAGACTTATCTGCAGTTTCTCTCTCTGTGATTTCAGCTACCTGTGGTCAACTTGTCTGAAAATGTTAATGGAAAATTCTAGAAATAAATGGATTTTAAATGGTTATTGTTTGTATTATAATGAAATTTCGCATTATCCCCCCTCCCATCAGATTTATGATTCATCTCTTTGATCAGAATATATTTTATCTATTTTGTTAGTGGTTAACTCCTTACTGTACAGCATTATCATTAGTATGTGCATACAAGAAATAACTTAGCAAAAAAAGCATTTGGCACTGTGCAGTTTGAGGCACACGCTGTAGACTTTTCATCCCCACTGGTGAGGAGTGTCTACTGTATGTGTACTCCAGTTAGTAGACAATTCATGAGGTCATTCCAACAGTTTCATCCTTTCTGCTGGGCACAGGACTGCTGCTAACAAAGCTGGCATTTATGGGATAAGGACAAAGCTTCCTTCTCGCCTGGGCAGCTACAACTGCTTGTCCACAATCCTGCTTTGGTGAACAGAGAGCATTTTATCCATGAAGGGCCACTGGACAAGTGGTGTAATACCTAGTCGACACGTCTATGAAGGGATCTGGCTGGAACATCATTTGCAGAGGGAAACCTGGCCCGGGAGATGCCCATCTCACACTCCAGGATGTATCGTGTCCTTGGCATTGGGTTTCTAGTAATTGTGCCACTTACTGTCTAGCTCTTTTTGATTATGTTCTTGTTGCTCTCAAAGGGTGGATTGGCGTGTAGAGCGAAACAACATATGCTGTAGGTCTTTATATCTATATGATGTTTTTAATCCCCATGATTAGACAAGATCATTTAAGTACAGAGAAAGGGACTAAGAAAAGCAGACAGTGCTGACCTCACAGGACCCCAGCCTTTTAAAGGACACCTGAAAGCACATGAGTGAGCAAAAAGGAGACCTCTCCAAGGCAGGAGGAAAGAGATGGAAATCTTGTCAGACAAGGAAGTGGAACAGGAGAGAGCTATTTCCTGAGCAGTCACGGGGGTGACGTGACTGTGTAAGTCATTGTGATTCAGGCTCAGTGGTAAAGTAATGCCAGCACATCCATCACATCACTGACCATGTCCTTGTCTCATAGGTAAAAGCCTCTGATGCAGATGCAGGGCTCTATGGCTTGGTCGAGTATTCTCTTTATGATGGATTCCAAAGTTATGAAGCACCTCCAGCATTCCAGATAGACCCTCGGGATGGGCAAATCTGTGTGTCTCAAGACATTGACAGAGAACGAGATCCAACCACCTTTGATTTGCTGGTGAAAGCTAAGGATGGGGTAAGTCTTTCCACATAAAACTCCAAACATTCTCTAAAGTGAGCCACAGTGAACACATCACAGAGTGGCAATGATTATTACAAATCACCCATCATATTTCATGTATTTGCCTCCTCTCTCTTTGCTGGAGTCTTCTTGAGGCTAATACCAGCTGTTAGATTATGTTATTATTAATAATTAAATAATATTCACTAATGGATAATGGCTCTAAGGAAAACATAACTGCATTACATTAGCAATAAGTCCTTGATAGCATCTAATACCCATACCATGTTAAATGATTTGTATTATCTAAGTATGTCTTTTGGCAATTGATTTGTTTGGATATACATCCAAGTGAGAGCATAAAGTAATTTGGTTTTATATCCCTTCAGTTTCCATCCTACCCTATCCTTTTCTATGACTTTAATTTTTTTTTGATTTATTTTTATTTTATGTATATGTTTGCCTGCATGTATGTATGTGGACCATGTGTGTGCATTTTCCAAAGAGGCCAGAAGAGAGTGGCAGATACCCTAAAACTGGAGTTATGAACAGTTGTGAGCCACCATACGGGTGCTGGGAACCCAACCCAGGTCTTCTGCAAGACCACCCAGTGCTCTTAACCTCTGAGTCATCTCTCTAGTCCCTCATAGGGTTTTTTGAAAAATCAGAAAATTTGTTCTATAAATTTCCACATGTTGAATGTGGTTGATTACATTCTTAGGATTCATGTAATTTGTTCTTTTATTGCCACTGTTCTCTGCATACTGGTATTTAGAGCAGAGACCCACATAGTTTCAGCCTTATTTGGTGCTGTGTGTTTCCTATAGTGTCAGCAGACCCACATGCTAGTATTCCATCATCGGTGGCAGAAAGGTCATTCTCTAGTTCCGTTAGTCCTTTTGCAGTTATTAAATGGGCTGCTTCAATAAAAATGTTCTTGCATCAACTATCCATTACCCTGAAATACACTTCATATTGGAAAGGAAACATTATGCCTATTTTTTTCTATTTTTGCCATTTTTTTAAATGATCAGCTGATGCTTTAACTGTCCCTAAAGGTGTCCAACTTTTAAAATTTCTTATTTTGAAAATAAACTCCTGGATTCTTACTAATTTGACACATTCAATATTCTGATAACCTTATATTTTTGACATTCACATTCTCCCAGCTATGATCAGTGGAGATACTTTTGATGTGTTTCCTCTACCTTTTTTTTTTTAATAAACAACAAAACCTCTTAACTTCACAGATAAAACTTGTCTAGAAAAGTATACAAATCATAAATGTATGGTACAATGGATATCTGCAAATTGAATATCTGCAAAATGAACATGCAGAAGGAAGCAAGCAAAGAAACAATGATAGACCCTCTCGTGACCTTCCCTGTAACTCTTCCCCTCCCCCCTCCTCCTTACCCCACCCTTTAAGAGTGACCTCTATTGACGTCTAACACCACACTGACTTTATATATACATATATATTTTTAATTTATTATTTTTATTTTATGTGTATGATTGTATTGCCTGCATGTATGTGAGTACACTTGTGTTGTGCAGTGCTGCAGAGGTCAGAAGCAGGCTTCGGATTCCCCTGGAACTGGAGTTAAAGATGGTTCATAGCCACCATGTGGGTACTGGGACTCTAACTTGGGTCCTCTGCAAGAGCAGTCAGTGCTCTTAACCACTGAGCTATCTTTCCAGCCCCACACTGACTTTTTAACTGTCACCGAATGGAAACATAGAGTATGTGTTTCAATTTAGTTTCTTTTAATGAATATTATTTGTAAACAACAACAACAACAACAACAACCCGCTTATGTTGTAGCATAATCCTTTCATTCTTACTGGTCTGTAATATATCTCCATGTGAATACGTGACAATCTTCTATATATTCTATAATTGATGATATCCATTTTAGCTTATTACAAACAGTCTACTAACACTATGTTAAAAATTACATATAGCCACTTTCGAAAGAGATATATCTTTGCTCTGGAAACTGTTATTGAGTATGTTAAAGCTATAATGAAATGCTTCTTCTAAAAAAATTTAAAAAATTAAATTTAAATAATATATGTCTTTAAATCTAAAAAAATTACATTTATCTTATTTTTTAAAAAGGGTAACCCCATAGCCCAAGCTGGCCTGAAGCTCACTGCATACTAGGCTAGCCTCAATCTCACAGACATCTACCTGTCTCTTCTTCCTGAGTACTGGGATTAAAGGAGTATGCTATTATACCAGGCTATCTTTAAAACTAAAACATTAAAATTATGACAATTTTGCATATTAATGAGGTAACATGCTGTCTTAATACATGTATACATTGTATAATGTTTAGTTCAGGCTACCTGTATCTACTTCCTCAAACATTTATCATTTCTTTGTGATGAAGCATTCAAAATCCTTTCTTCTAGCTTTTGAAACATGTGCTCCATTACTGTCGCCTATAACCACCTACTGTACAATTACACACCAGAGCTTCTTTCTTCTAAGGGAATTTAGTCCCCATTGATCATTCTTTCCCCACCACTCTCTCCATATCCTCTTGCTTTGGTAACCACCATTCTCCTCTCAACTTTTATGAGGTAAAGTTGTAGATCCACATATGTGAGATCATGTGGTCCTTCTCTTTCTATGCCTGGTTTATTTCACTTAGCACAATAATCCCTAGTGCCATCCATATTGCCCTAAATGGTAGCCCAGGTTTCATGGCCAGTGTGGCTCTATCACAGAGCCATTGACTGCTTCAGACCCAGCTCCATCCTTCTTTTAGCCTGGATCGATGAGCATGGTGACCATGGTCCCTTTCTTTACAATCGCCATGTTGGCCACCTCCAGGAGGAGTGGACTTCTGGGCGTTGTCTTCTCTACATTCCTTCTTGCTGCCTGTCACCTTTGAACTCTTTTTCTTGCCTTGATTTTTTTCTGTTTTCTGACCTAGGTCATCTTGGCTGTTCCACAAACCAGTAGTCATTCACAGAAGGACAGAACACTAAAGAAGTTACCCTCGGGGTCCTCTTATGCATGATAAACACCTTAGAAGAGTAGTATCCCATGATTTAGAGCCATGATCACAAAACACCAGATGATAGAATGAGCTTTAAGCAGTAATCTCAGCCCACATTTAATGCTACCTTCTTTCTCAGAGAAGAAACTTCCCCTAAATACAGGGTGTTTGTCTAAATATTTGTTTCCAATAGCTGCCATAGGTATTGATGTTGTCCAAACAGAGTGATGAACTTTTGGCAACCTAGTCTAGGCATGAGCCCAGTCTCTTTTATAAATAGTTTTTTTCATGGTGATGTGTTCTGGCTAAAGCTGTACATGTCCTTTGTACTACTATGGTAACTGTCAAAAAGAATTAGCTTTGCCTGCAGAATCTCATCTGATGTCCACTCTGACCTTTAGGATTGATTTGACTTCTTCCTAGGCCTTAGTGACCAAATAAAGGACCCAGATGTCTATATAGTGGTAGATGTCTCTCTATCGGGAGAAGCATGTACTGCCACAAAGACCCTTAGCTCTCTGTTGAGCTACCACCTCAGTCTGGAGAGCATCATCCCTCAGGGCTGGATTCCAAATTTTACTTTAGCCTAGATTTATTTTAGTCATTGAATTATTCAGCTCCTAAAAGGATCAATTCATCCTCTCAAGATGAGCAAAGGATACATCTAATCTTGACAAAGGTATGGAACATAAAGTTTCTGCCATCTAAGTCCTTTTATCAACACATGATTAGAAATGAGTTATCAAAGCTATTGGGTTTCCAACAGCTTCCTGAGCCTCACCCTGCTTAGACCTGAAACTGACTGCAACATTCCTCCTGTATTCTTTACAATGTATAGCAAGAAAGTAGCACTGGTGAAGTTACGTGAGTGCCTGGGAGTTCACACACTTACAATGTGTGCATATATATATATATATGTATGTATGTATATGTGTGTGTATAAGCACATATACATATATGTATATATCAGGTTTTCCAGTGTCCCACATTACTGCATAATCTTGAATTTCTGTGATAAGCTGTTTCAACAGGGTGAATTTTGCTTCTGCCGTAAATACTCAACACAGTGTTGACTAGCAGTGCATATTATTCAGAACCATGTCATCAAAAAGATTTGTAAAAATGAAGATAAAAATTGGTAATGACTCAATAGACTGCTTTAAAGACATCTAGACTGAATCTGTAAAATAACTCAGGTACAGTATCTTAGATTCAAGCTTTCAGAATTCAGACCAAAATGAATTTGTTTAACACAATAAGCTACACCTTGACAGAAGTCCTTTAGCTTTATAGAATTGTGCTGAGAGCCGTGTTTTTTCCTCTTATTCTTTCTCTTTCTGATAAATGTCCTGTATGTCCTTGGGAGAAAATTGCTGAGAACCCATTTGTGGGTATTTCCTAAGAGGTTTTTATCTGTCAATAGCATAGCATAATTTTTCTTAAAAAATACCCTAGAAGCTCTGTGCGTCCTTACTACTCTGTTTTTCTTCATGATGACTGTCAATATTTTTCCAACTCATCCACTTCTCCTTTTCTATTGGTCTATTGGCACTACATCTGAGATATCCTATTTTTGCTGCTACAGCTATTTAGTTCATAAGCAGGAGATATACAAGATGTTAACATGATGAAGATGCTATGAAATTATATAGTGGAACCAATTAATTGGATTGGCAATCAAGTAATTTTCCACAATAAAGATTTATGGTTTAATGATCTCATCTTTATATCTAAACTTTGTGTTTCATTTTCCAATACATGTTCACAAACGAAGTCTTCACTTTGGCTTATGTATGTTTAGCAACATTCTTTCCCCAGGCTTGTTAAATCCTGAATTCTGTACTGAAATATATGTCTGAGATAAAATTATGTCAGCTCTATCTCCTCACTACAGGTTTAAGGAAGGATTTTGACAGATTAATTCTATAAACAGTAAACTGGCTTAGCTCTCCATCACAGTATATATTCATGATAAGAGCTCACTGTGGAAGTTATGTGCAATGCATGAACAGTGGATTGAATAAAAGACTTTCTGAGTAAGAGGGCATATGCACTTAAATTCTAGTGCCTTGCGATAGTCCACTCTCTAAAGTATTCAAATTCTTATTTCAGTCTTTTGTTTCCCTGGTTTCTGCCCCCACTTATTTCAGCTGCCCACTAGCTATGTTGTTTGGGCCATTCTTTTACATACTAAGGGGATTAGCTAACTGGGCCCTCATTTCTCCTCACCTGTGTGCATGTGATTTACACTGAAATGCATTGCCATAGTTCACTAAGATGCATTCCATACATCACTAGAGCCAAGAATGGTCAAGGACAGATATTACTATTCTACCATTTAGGAATCCCACAATGCAAGAACAGAGAGACTAGAAAGAAAGCAGACAATTGCCAAAGTGAAAATCATAGCAAAAACTTTTCCATATCTGCTAATTGCCCTAGCAACATCTGGGCCTTCTATAGTAGATGCTTTTAAGGATGTAGTGTTTTAAAAAGTCCTTGCACTTTTCACAGCATAACTTGAAGGAAGTAGATTGCTTAGGACTCTTGTACCATAACTTTAAAAATTAAATGATTAAAATGAATCAATGTGACCCATGACTTGTTTATGGAAAGAGTGAGATAAAATTGAGGAACATTAATGTTGGATTCAGTGGGTGCATTAGTTACATATTGCTGTTTAATAAACTATTCCTCAATTTAGCAGTTTAAGATAATATAGTTTCTAAGTGTCAGGAATGTAGAGTAGAGGGCAGCTTGCCCAGTGCTACTGCCTCCGAGTCTTTCCTCAGTTGCATCATGGGAACAATTTTCATGAGCTGGACAACACATATTACAGGTACTTGGAATGTGAAGAAACTGCTAGATTGGCCTTCCTCATACTTCATCCTGTGGGATATAGTTTTTCCAATAGGCTCCCTCCAAAGACAGTTCTGTGATTCAAAAAGAGTGGGTATAGGCACATAGCTTAACATGACTGCAGCCATCTTGGCTGTAACCTCACCCTAAGCCCTGTGAAACAGTCAGGTAAGACTGACACACGGACTCTGTCTTACTTGATGTGGGTTATGCCTTCTGGCTTGCCATGACCCACATTTGTCCAGCTTAGCACACACCCCCTGTCTCCTGCCTTAGCATGTGAGAAGTCACTTGCTTTGCTGCCTCTTAAAACACATGAATCACCAATGAACTGCAGTTTGTGCAATCCTAGATCTAGCTCAGTCTTCTTTCTGTCTCACAGTGCCTTCCACACTCGGTAACTTTTTGTTAGGCCCTGGAACTAGGATTTTTTTTCTCCAGAAAGAGTGGGGAATACCTAGAACTCACCACCTTCAGAAATGCATGCACAAGAAACAGGCTCTGTACGGAGTTCTAAAGCAAAGGGCTGACTTGGTGAACTTGGTGGTTTCCCAACTGTTTTCCTTTTTCTTTTGTTCACGGAGTTTCCTTATATACGATATGCTTTGAATGTATTTATATCCCTTCCCCTACCGGTATCCATATATATATATATATATATGCCTGTAGAATCAATTTTGTGTCCCCGAATGTCCTTCCGTCCTTCAGTGTGAATCCATCCACTGGAGCCTGGTTAACCTATCAAGATGCACACCCCTAAGAGAGACTGACTCTCCCATTCCTAGCAGCCATTGATATCCTCGGGTAGGGTTGGGTCTTCTTACCCTCTTCCCCAGTCTGTACTGGGATTTTTATATATATGCCTGTAGAATCAATTTTGTGTCCCCGAATGTCCTTCCGTCCTTCAGTGTGAATCCATCCACTGGAGCCTGGTTAACCTATCAAGATGCACACCCCTAAGAGAGACTGACTCTCCCATTCCTAGCAGCCATTGATATCCTCGGGTAGGGTTGGGTCTTCTTACCCTCTTCCCCAGTCTGTACTGGGATTTTGTCTGGTTTGCACTTGTGTGGTATTGGTTCATTCTCTCACCATTGTTATGAGTTCGTGTGAGTGACTCTACAACCTCTTCTACAACGAGCCTTGGAGTCGGAAGTTTGATATAGGCATCCATTCAGAGATAATCACTCTGTAGCATCTTGTTCTCTGCTTGTTGGTTTCTGTGTTAATCACCATCTTTTACATAAAGAAGCTTCTCTGGTGAGAGTTCAGAGATGCATTAATCTATGGGTAAAACACTAAGTCGTTAGGAGTCTCTTTAATGCTGTATCTATTTAGCAGAATAATGCTATCAGGCTCTCCTCTATGGCCTGTGGCCTGTCTAGCCACATGTTCCTAGGCCCAATATCAATGTCAGGTATGGGCTCCATCTTATGAAGTAGACCTTCAATCCAATTATAATGTGATTGACTACTCCCATAATACTGAGCCACTATTGCAAAACAGGCAATATCTTGCCAGGTCAGTTGTTGTTGAATCAAGCAGGATTCACAGCTGGGTGAGGTTAATGATGATTATTTTTTTACTGATAGTATGCATAGAAACTTCCAGCACTATGACTGCTAGCCTGTAGAGATAAAGCTTTGGTGTCAGTACCAGCTTGATTTCTCCTTGCTTTTTTCTATGGCTCATGTATGTAGTGTCTTCAGCAACAGGGTGTTACCTTCAGGTTCTTGTGGGTGACCAAGAGCAGGGGAAATGGCCAGTATTGTTTGAAGGTCTGTGGAACTGCTGGTCAACAGGGGCAGTGCATGTAAAGTACACTTAACACATTCATAAGTGGTTGTTATCAGAGGAAAACTCCCCTACTTGATAAACTCAGCAGGTGTACCTGGGGTTTGTAAAAAAAAGAGACACCAGGGCTGGAGAGATGGCTCATAAGTTAAGAACACTTGTTGCAGAAGACCTGGGTTTGAATTCCAGCACCCACATGCCAGCTAATAACTGTCCTTAACTCCATCCGACAGTCTCTTCTGTCCTCTGCGGACATTGCACGGCACGGGTGCACTTACCCACACGCAGGCATAACACTCATACACATAAAATAATAAATAAAATATTTTAAAGAAAGACACCAAAGTCTTACACTTTATGCACAAAAGATTAATCATTGTTTCAGTAAGTTTAATCACTCTGTTATCCAGCTAATATTTGCTTATTTTCATAGGATTTTTCTTGCTAAGGTCTTCATGCAATTAAGGTCTGTTTCTTGAGGATTTTCTGGTGATGTAATATTTCCTTCTTCAGGCCCTCTCTCTTTTTCACTACTTTTCTTACCTGCTTTCTCAGTCAGTCCCTCTTCAACCCAAGTCACTGCTTGTACTTGAGCAATACATTAGGAAAGTGACTGGAGAGGGAAAAGGGAACTCAAAGCTGAGGAGGGCGGTTGGGAGCCACAGCGGGCTCTAGTCAGATGTCCAAGTGCTTTCTGTACTTTTCCTCAGTCTGCAGCCTCCTCTCCGTAGTCGTCTCGACTCCTGCAGGTTGGTTAGCTGGCTTTCCTAGCGATGGAGAGTCTTCTGCGTCAGATACTGGCAGTTGGGTGAACGCATAGCGCTTCCTTTGTAGTCCTAACTAACCAGCCATTGTTTCTCCTGCTCTGATTGGTAACTGACACTTTATTCAACTCAGAACTCAGAACCAGAATATGGGAAACCACAGTATACCTAACCTGTGTTTCTCAATTTGTTTTTAGTCCCCAGAGCGTGGTGCGCATGCAATGAATGTGTGAGAGCCGGTTCCTGGTTGACTTCCCAGCCGTGCTGTGCTTCTGGGTCCTTTCCCTCAGCACTTGCTCCCGTGTCTGCACAGCCCACTTCTATTTTCAAGCTGTGCTCACTGTTTTTCCTTTTCCTCTTTGTAAAAGAGAAGGAAGGAAAAGGAGGGGTAACAAGTGAGCGACAGTCCCAGGCTGTTAGCACTTACCAAGGACCTTTGTCAAACCTGAGTCTCTGGATGGACCATAGAGAAATGGAAAGTGGTATCTGGAAGCAGGAACAGATGCTTTACTTCACAACAGAGACAACCAAGGCGGTGATGTTTCCCTTCTATTCTAGCTTCCCCCTTTTCCTTGCAAAGGACAAAAAAACCAGTCTGGGATGTACTCCCCATTTTTTTATGGAGAGTAATTTTACAGGATAGTATTGCTTTTCTGAACCCTGGAAATTTCAGAATTTCCAAGCAATGTTGCCCCAGGAAAAAGGACACACTCCTTTGCTGCTCTCTCCCCACCAGGGCACCTGTTTCCAACCTGGCGATCCCAAGGCCTCTTGGCTGCTCTTCTTTTCGCAGCCTGCTGCCTGTTTTGAGCATCGTAGCCAGAGCAGCAATGTCAAATCACTACACATGCATTCAAAATTCTACAGTGGGGAAGGGCCATGGTCCTTTTGAGCCACAATGACCTCTGTGACTGACTTTATTCTGACATCAGGCCTGTGCCTTCCTTCCTGTCCCTGAACAGACCCGTGTGAGGCACCACACACCTGCCTCTGGACCTTTGTTCTTGGTCTTTCTCTGCTTATTAATCATTCACGCTCCCCTCTCCCCGCCCCAGGTAATCCAAGTCTGCAAATCTAGCTCCCTCAGATAGACCTGTCTTTCCTCACATCATAATTTCCTAGCAAGATTTTCATACCATAATAATACATTGAAACTCAGTCTCAAGATAAGAGTAAAACCAAAGCATGTTCATGTGCATATCGATGTTTTGTTGCTTCAAAAGTTTATTTTGGAGTCATTGTTAATTATTCTATCTCAATATTTCTCTCTCTCTCTCTCTCTCTCTCTCTCTCTCTCACACACACACACACACACACACACACACACTTGGCTGTTTCAAAGACTGTTTTGGGAGCATTGCTAATTATACTGTAACTCCAGTGTTTGGCAGAGACCCACTTATAATTATTTGTCTTTCTTATAGGGTGGTCTAAGTGCCCAAGCTTTTGTCCGGGTGGAACTAGAAGATGTAAATGATAATCATCCTGTATTTAATCCATCAACTTATGTGACCAGCATCAGCATCCAGTCCCACCCAGGTACTGAGATCGTCAATGTTCTTGCCAGTGACAGGGATTCTGGGATATACGGAACGGTGGCTTATGAACTCATTCCAGGAGACCTGTCATCCTTTTTCACCATTGACCCCCTTACAGGTATGTGATCTTGGGACAGTTTTCATCCTCTGTTTATTAAGCTTCTGCTCTACTGCTTAACACCCCCAAAAGTAGAAGTGATAATGTTTTCAAAGCAGGAGGATGGCAGATTCGACTCTCTGAAGGGCAACATGGTGATTTGGAAAATGGCTGGTGTTTTGTCATTAGCCAAGGCCAGGATCTGAGTCGCAGCTCTGCTTACTGTGATACAGAATCTTCAGTGGACCAGTTTTGCAGTAGTACTAACAATGGTAAAGACTGAAAACATAAACACGTGGAAATAGCCAGGTATCTGTATTTTGTGAAGGTTCCTCTCCTTGTATGAGTGTGCAATCTAAGGGTGACTTAACTTCATTTCCCTGTGTTCCTGGATGATAGAACGAGGTGGAACTAAGACCCGGTCGGTGGCTTTCTTTGTACTAACTCCGGTGTGCCCTTAGATTTTTTTGCTCTAATTTCTTGTTTCTAAAACAATGCTTAAAGCTTTCTGTTTCTCAAACACAGAAATTGCCTATCTGCCAGAGAACGCCCATGAGCAGACTGTTTTCTAGAAATAAATATTTAAAAGATCATCTTCACTTTTCTATGTTTGTTGCTAACAAAATAATCTTTGAAATATTTGATTTACAATAGACGTAAAGTTTCAAGTATACAGTATCCTAATACTTTTGAGATAATCACAGATACTCTGGCTTAAATCAAGGCTACAAGAAAAGTATTTTATTCTTTCCCATTGTTTCATCAGCTCTGAGAGATAAATGCGCAGAATGCATTTCCATTTTAATGGCATGTCGCATGTGTTCACAGGCTAGTTAGCCTTCAAAGGACAGCCTATGGTGCCAGTCAGACACCAGGCTAGACATTGTCTTTACCTTGTCTTATGAGATAGTCATGACCACCAAAGGTGTTACAAGCCAGTCATGATCTGCATAGGAAATACAGTGCACATAGTTTGTCCTTCCACCCACCCCTACTAGGTAGAGTCACTGTTCCTGGAAGGAGCGTCTCATCTGGTTTATGTGACATCTGGGGATTAGTTGTTTACACTGGCAGTCTTTACAAGGCAAAACTTTCCTTGCTCAAAATAATCCACTGATGTGGGCCGTTAACATGTCACAGATCAGAGGAAAATACTTTTTTGTAGGAAATTGGTCTGCTTATCTCGGCTTTTTCAAAATTCATCTTAACTGAGTAACTGAGGACCTTAACTGCCATCAGGACCTGTAGGGCATTAGCATTGCCAAAAATATATAGGTCAGCCATAATCATGAGACTGGATCTAGAAGCATTTAGCAGGTTGTTTTTAAAAGACATCACACTCATCATCCAGGCACTCCAGGAAGAGCTTGAAGAGTTTGGAATTCTGTTTATGGAAGAGATTTTTGTCACTGCAAGGGTGGGGGCCAATCCTGTGCCTCCCTTCCCAGCACTCACTACAGGACAAATACCATTGCTAACAACAGAGAGCACTGTATGTGGGCTGTTATCTAGGGAACCATCAGGGGAGTTTTTCTGTTTGTTTGTTTAAAGTAAAGACCAAATTTGTCATGGAAGCAGCCTGGGGTTACTATTGTTGGCTATTCTGATGAATATTGTGCATTTAGGTGGAAGACATTTCTCAGGAATTTGGTTGCATTTAATCACAAATTCTAAGTGATCCAGGAGGACTGGTGACATTTTATTTTAACCTTTAGAGAAGGAACCAGCATCATCACTAGCTGTGGGGGAGGTTGTTCAAGGGCCAGGGGAGGCAGCCTCCAGAGTGAACCACTGGGTTCTGGGAGTTTCTCTGTAGAAACTGAGAACCTGTTTACAGGGAACCAGGAGGGTTTTTTTGGTGTGTAACACATTATGAAATGATGAAATTAAGCTAATTAACTCCCATCACCTTGCATATTTTTAGTATTTTATATTTTTATTTATTAATTTTATGTATAAGTGTATTGCTTGCATGTATGTAAGAGCACCTGTGTCGTGAAATGCCCACAGAGGTCAGAAGATGGCCTCAGATTCCCTGGAACTGGAGCTAAAAATGGTTGTTAACCACCATGTGGGTGCTGGGAATCAAACCAACTGCAAGAGCAATTTGTGTTCTTAACCCCTGAGCCATCTCGCCAGCCCCACTTTTAGTATTTTATAATGCGCAGTTAAGATCTACTTTCTTAGCAGTCAAGTACACACATCATCATTAATTACAGCCACTATCTCATGAAATAGATGCTCCGTACTTTTCTCCTGTCTGAATGAAACAACATCCTGTCTGACCAAGTTCTACTGTTTTCCCTCAATCTAGGTCCCTGGCAACCTCCATTTCTTTGACTTCCAGCTGCTGTGAAATTGACATTTTCTTCACTTCCACTTCTAAGTGAGATCAGGGAGTTTGTCTTTGTATGAGTGGCTTATTTCACTCAGTACATCTTACAGGATACCCATGTTGATACCAGTGAAAAAATATCCTCGTGAAGGCTAAGCAGACTGTGCATGTACCAAGCTCCTTCTGTCATCCACTGATGGATACTTTGGTGGAGTCCAGGTCCTGGTTATTGTGAACAGTGCCGCAACGAACAGAGCAGTGCACTTATGGATTTGGTGCGCCGATTGTACTCCCTTTGGATATACTGAGACATAGAACAGCTACTTTTGACATTTAAGGGACTCCCCATATTTTTTGCACAATGACTGTATCACATTTTCTGTAAAAAGATGTCCTCAGAGAATAGAACGTGAAGCAATATTGGAATACTGTTTTCCTATTCTGGATCTGTTGTGTTTCAGCAACTTTAGGTTCACCATAAATAAAGCCTGTATCTACCAATACTACCAGTAATAAACACAGCCCCAAGACACTTACTCTGTCAGTAAATATTTATGGAATAAATGTCACCAGAAATGATTGGAAAGTGATTTAAATTCTCACTGCAGCTTCTTAACAAATTGCATGGTAATTTCATTGATAACATGGAACAAAACAATTTAAATCTTTTTAGTGACATAGTCTGGGCAGTAACCCTGTGGCTGCCTCCACTTCTCGCCTCGGGACGCTCAGCCTCTCTCTGGTTTACCTGCATGGGCACTTTATTTTTCCTCTCTTCCCGTTGTCTCTAGATTTAGCCATTTCTTTTCCAAAGTGACATCCTCCTGCCCACGATGGGAGTTTTCCCAGCCAAGCTCAGTACCTTTGATTGTTCCTCTCTCCTTTTTACCTGAATTCTAACATAACTAGGAAGAAGAGAGGTAGTTATACAGTGAGATCTGAGACTCGAAGAGTCCGTTTATGCACAACCCCGTCCTCCTGACATACTCGCACACCTCTTAAGGGCACTCACTCTTTCAGTCTCTTTCAACCCTTCATTTAGATGATTTTTGTGCCAGGCACAGTATTTTAAAGCTTACATAGTTTTTGTTGTAGGTTCATGTTTTTCTAAAGACAAGAGATTGCTCATTGATCTCTTTGTGCCACAACCAAGACTCAAGCATTAAAAACAGAGTTGTAGCTTACTGTGTTCATCTGGAAGAGAAATGTTTTAGAGGAAACTGGAAGGGGGTGTGGCCATGTCATGGTTGTTTTCCCTTGCGGGTTTATCTTCCTGTTCTGGTTTTAGTTTTCTGAGTTTGTTGTTGATTCAATGAACAAGATTCATTTTTGTAGAATGTTCAGGTAGTAGAGGAGAGATACCAAGTCAAGCCTTCAAACATATTTATTAACAGCTCTCCTCGTGTATTTTAATCCTATTTTAAAAGTTACATGTAGATTTTTTCCTTCTATTCATTGATTTTCCCCAAAGAACATTGAAGTTGCAGAAAAGTTTCACATTGTCGTATTGTTACCTAAGAGAAGTCCCTCTCTCTCTCTCTCTCTCTCTCTCTCTCTCTCTCTCTCTCCCCTTCTCCACCTGTGTGCCACAGTGTACATGTGGGAGATAATTCTGTCCTTCTACCATGTGGGTTCTGGGGATTGAATTCAGGTTGTTATGTTTGGCTGCAAGCGCCCTCACCAGCCAAGTCATCTTATTGACCCAAGGTGAAGTCCATATGTGATTCTCTTGCCACCACAACCAGAAGCCTCCATTTTTGAAGTATTTCTTAGAATAGCATAAAACAACAGTCAATTAGCTTTTGATTTTTGTCTGATTTATTTAATGATTTGCACTAAAGAAAAACTTAACTGTTAGCTCAAATTTTTTTAAGGTGACAAATAGATTAAAAGCATTCAGGTTCAGCATCTGTCACCATCTAAAACTGTCTTTTTCGTTACAGCTGCCTTTGATTAAGGTATTATGATTTACCTCTTTTTGTATGAAAGCAAGTTCATGACATAAAGACAAATCAATAAAGGTTCTAAAACACGTGGTGCCAAGGAGATGGCTTAGTTGGTAAAGTGATCGCAACACAAGCATGAAGACCTGAGTTCAGATCTCCAGCACCCGTCTAAAATCCAAGCATGATGACATGTGCCTGTAGCTTCATCTAGGGGTCTATGTGCAAGAGGGAGATCCTGGACCTTGCTGGCCATCAGTTCAGCGAGACACACTGTCTCAACAAATAAGGTGGTAAGCAATTAAGGACCTGAATTAGACCTCTGGTGCATGCATACACACTCACCTATGTACATACATGTACGCACACACAAGAACATATACACACACAAACGGACACACATACTCTCTCACACAAAGTGTGTAGGTCGTCTGTTTAAGGTGGAAAACGAAAGCGAGGCCATCTGTGTGACATGTTTATGTGACGCTTGTTATACAGCAGACACTATTCTGGGTGTTTGTGGTGCATCAGTGAAGAACACAGACAGCCTTCCCTCCTTCACCGTACTCAGAGCGATAGCCGCGTGTTCTCTAACCCTGCCTGGCCTGGCTTTAGGTGTGGTGTGCACAGAATTCAATCTTAACCCTGCAGAAGAATAGCTCAGAAGTGTTTCCAACTGCAAGCACACAGAGCCATGCTGTGCTGTTTATCGCCATCTTTTGCTCGTCTGAGTTGTGAGGATT